TATTATGGTCATCAGCTTGAAGCATGTTTTATTGTAGACTAACGAGTATGAAATTGAATAGATCGTATTGACTTGGCTTGAACTATCTTGATTTAGCTCGAATTAAATCAACTTAACTTAAACTAGTTTTTTAAAATATTCAGATGTACATTTAGCTCTTTGATTCTTTTATATCTTTGGAGGTTTAATGGCAAAAAAAATACATTAGTTAATCATTAACCATGTTATGTGCTAGAAGATTTGAGTCGGTAGATTGTATGTTTTATGTTTTAGCATTGTATAAAAATTTAGTATACGCAGATACAAGTTGCTAGTGTAAAAATTTTTTATGTGAAAAATCTAAAAAGAGAAAAAAATCACTAGTTTTGACCAATTGAAAAATCTACTATATACCAGAAGATATAAGAATATTTTCTTTCTCATAGTTGAAGAAGAAGATAATTATTTGAAAATAAAAATATATTTTTTCTCTTTTGCAAGGATTACATAAATATGATGACCGCATGCGAGCCATTGAAACCAAACAACATGGTTAGATCTTTACAAAAGCATGGAGATGATGGCGGTGATATTGAATGGCGGTCTTTGATGGTAATAGCTGGTGATGCTCATTGGCGATAATAGCTAAAAATACAAAGAGCTCTCTAATTCTCTCCTCTCTCTCTCTCTCTCTCTCTCTACCCCCATGTAGAGAATGTGACTATTTATAGATTTTTTATGTGCATTTTAATAATTTGAACTAGAATCTAAAATACTTTATCATACGGTCTATACTAATTCTCTTGATTATGAAGCATTCACTAATAATTTAAGTGCCTTAATGATGTCGAAATTGAGTGATATTGGGCTTGTTGGATTTGTCTCGTCAACTCACTTTATTTGATTATAAGTGATTATAACCATTATCTTATCAAACAATATCTATAATTAAGCATGACTTAGTCTTCATTTGAGGCGGCTTTTTTAATGCTTTCTAAAGCAGTTTTTTAGTACAAAAATGTCTAGTCCAGAATATTTTAGTACTAAAAAGCTACTTTAAAAAACACTAAGAAAGCCGTCAATATATTGTACTAAAAAGCAGCTTTTTAAAAAGCTTTAGTTTAATTTTGGATCATTGGCACCTAAATAGGTCTTGGCATCATTCAACCTTCTTAGAAATCTACTTTTCTCATTATTGAATGTCCCCATGATTCATCAAATGTAGGGAATTATTCTTCATAAATTTGCAAGTCGATATATATATCTCTCACAAATTTATTTTTCTTCCCTCTAGTTATTGTAAACAGTTATTTTGAATTATTCCCCTTGCAATATCTTTTATTAAAAGAATTAACAAAAATAGTTTAAAAATTAAATTAGGCTAAATATTTAATCCAAAGTTGTACAAAAAAAAAAAAAAAAAATCATCCAAAGTGATGCTCTATATCAATAATTATTTGTGCATAGTTTTAAGGGCCAAAAAATTGAGTCATAATCAACAACAAAAATAATTATTTGTGATTCATAATAATATCAACAATAATTTTATTTTTGGTATTACCAATACAATTAAATGCATTACTAAACTTTTACCATTTGGAGATACAATGTCGTCATATAGATAAATTGGAAATTGTGTGATACTTTCTTTTTTTGCACCGATATGAATTATTTGGAAGGAAAGGAACTTTAAATGCTTTTAGAATAAAAGCTACAGAATATCAGATTTTTTTTTTTAGGGGACCGTTAGGGATCGAACATGGGAGTCGGGGGAGGAATTTTTTCGCTCCACCACTAAGCTGCCCCGCTCGTCCCATTATTCGTAGGAGAATTATTCTACCCTCATGTTGAGATCAGCTATTAGTTTAATATTTAGATAATCACAGATAAAAATCAATCATCATATTACATTAAAAAATAATAAAAATAATACAAACGGAATTAAATTATTAGTCATACAGTAAACATTTTGATGTTGATATATTATCATAAGCTAAGTGTAGAATCTGATATAAAAAATATGAATCGGTTGATTCGTTTAATAAATGAGGCTTAGTTTGAGATAAAAATTTTGTTGCTTTTTAAGCTAATTTTTAATACAATTTTTTAATTTAAAATTTTTTTACTAAAAAACATAAGAAAATTATCACAAATGAGGTTTGAGTTAGATTTAAATTTCAATCTATTTATTAAATAGATTCAATTTGAGTTAAGACGTAAACTTATTTTTGACTAAAAAATAATTCATTTATTTTTTCTTAATTCTTTTATTTATTGGTATGATTTTATTTTTTATTAATTAATTTGTACTCTATAGTTGATAAGATATTAAAAAAATGTATCAAAATGTGTTATTGGGTCAGGAATCGAGTCCATCTTTTTAACCTACTTATTATATGGATTGGATTTGGATTGATTGGATTCAACCAGGACTCCTAAGATCTACAAATGTAAATATGTAATTACACTGCAATTACTTGTATTTTTATTAATAAAATAAATTAGGTAGCTCTAGTTGTTATATATTAAAAAATAAAAGAATAATCTTCCAAATTAAATTCAAGGGCATCACAGAGGTCTATATTCAGACTAGGTGATTAAATGATCATAGTCGGCTGATGATGGTCAAAGGAGTTTTATTAGGGGACCATGATCAGAGAACCTTAGCTGGGCAATGGTGTTCAGAGGATTCTAGTCATATATTGATAGTTGAAGGACCATATTCAAGTGATGATGGTCAAATGACCATCCTTAGTTGAAAATGTATAAGAGATTGCAATCAGATAATGGTGGTTGGAGGATCATAATCAGGTGATGGTAGTTAAGAGACCTTAATTGGGTGATAGTGATTGAGGGAACATAAGAGGATAATGGTGATTGAAAGAATATTCTTGGGCGATAATGGTTGGAGGATTGTAGATGGGTGGTGTTGGTTAGATGATCTTAGTCGTGTAATATTTGTCGAAGGCTCATAGTAAGGAAAAGGTAGTCAGGAGATTGTAGTTGGATGATGATGATCTATTTATCATAGTAGAGTAACAGCAATTGGAGGGTTGCAGTCAAATGATTGTAGTCCGGCGAGTTGCTCGGAGGACTATAGTTGAATGATATTGTTCATATGACTAAAGTTAGAAGATCATGTTAGAGGATTGAAGTTGAGCTATAACGATCAAATAATCATAGTTATGTGATAACAAATAATCATAGTTATGTGATAATGCTCAGAGGATCATAGTTGGCAATAGTGATAGGAGAGCTGAAGTTGAGCAATAGTGATTAAAGGGTCATAATCAGACGATGGTGGTTAGAGGATCTTAGTCAAGTGACAATTGTTATAGGATGGTAGTCTAGCGATGGCAGTTAGATGATTTTCTAGCAAGGGGTGGTAGTCTGACCTGACAGTTGGGCGATGGTTGACGACTGTGAACTAGAAGTGGTGCTTAAACTTTTTTAAGCCTCGAAGTTGTCTTGATCTTACGCCAAGAGTTTTAGCCCTCATTCATGTCGAGAATAGAGGCTTATTTATAGATTTGTTAGAGTGCATGCCTAGTAAATATTTTAAAAATCTAGAGCGCTCCTTAATATATCATATATTGATTCTATAGATCATAAACCATTCTTTAAGCACTTAAGTGCCTTAACGTAGTCAAAATCAGACAAATTTAGACTCGTTGGATTCATCTTGTCAAGACACTCATTTTGACTGTAAGCATGAAAAATTTAGATATTTTTTGGTCATTCAATTAATGTCATCAAATTTTTAATTATACTTCACGTTGTTGATTTGTAGGCTTGTTAAACTTGGAGTTTAGATGTATATGAATTTAATTCCAGAAGTTTCTAACTGAAACATGCATCAAGATTTGTGTACAATCATACTAATTTTTCATGACATACGAATCCTATAATAATGAGTTCGATTATATATTTAGATTTTATCCAATTTCTAGAGCTAAAATTTTCATAAAAATTGGAACGAAATTTGGGCTTAAATTGAGCCCGTATCAAGCCAAATGAGTCCAACCACATGCCACAATTTTCTCATAGATCAATATTGGAGTTGATTTAGCGTTAGATTTGCATCAGATTGTGTTGACTCAAATTATAAATAGGCTATGTATATAAATATATTTACACACATTAAATATTTTTTAACAATAAATAAATAAATAAATTTGAGTCGATTAAATTTAAATTTGAGTTTCTTTAAAATAAAATGGGTTCAATCCTCAAGCCAATTTAAGCCGTCTTATAAACGAACTTTTATTTGGTCCGGTCATAGGACGTAGCTCTACGTTCGGCCGCCAATAGAATCGTGCAACGCGTTCTCACTATTTACCGTGCGGCCTGACAACCCGACCCGGAACGGACCCAGGATAGCTCGGTATTTCTTGATTTTGCTAGGTATTGCTCGGTATTGCTAGGTATTGGTCGATTTTGCTCGGCAATAACCAATATCGAGCAATACCGAGCAATTACCGAGTAATACCGAGAAATACTGAGTTCGGTACAACTCGGTATTTCTAGAAAAACTCAGTATATCTAGCAAATACCGAGTTTTTTCGGTAAGAAAAAACTCGGTACAACTCGGTATTTCTCAGTATTACTCGGTATTTATCTTCACAGAGCGGTATTTCTCGTTATTGTCAAGTAATACCTAACAATACCGAGCAAATACAGAGTAATACCTCGCAATACGCGAACATAACATTCCCGGGTTTCCGTCTTGATCAAGTCGTCGGGCCGCGCGATAAAGAACAAGAGCACGTGACGACAAGTTATTGGCGGCCGAACCTAGCTCTACGTCCGGTCAAAGGAAGTAATAATTGGAACCTGATGGATGTAGAGATACATCAGGTACCCAATAAAAAAATGCCACATGCACTTACTTTTTGTTTAAAGCTGAGTGATTTTTGTTTAAAGTATATGTAAAATGCATGTGACATTTTTTTATTGAGTACCTGATGTTTCTCTACATACCTGACCCAATAAAAATTCTAATAATTGTTTCTTATAAACGCTGAACTCAAAAGCTATTCGCTCACACCCCGTGGTCACAGAGGTGCGCAATGGCGCTGCGGCTTTAGCTGATTCTGGAATTTCGTCTTTTCTTCTTGATCCGAACACCGATTCTCAGCTGTGGAGATCCAGCAGGATCATGGTGCTTGGGCTTGAGGCAGCGGATCAGCATATAGCATGGTACTGTTCTTCCTAATTTTTCAATGTCGAGGGTTATACTTGAATTTTGTTGAAGAATACCTTTACTATCTTCTTATGATCAGCTAGTTTTCTTGTCTTGGATCAGATATTTGGATTGGGCGTTTTGGGCTTGATCTTTGGCTTCCTTTCAGTATTTTTGAGAGTTATTTCTTCCTTATTTTTACATTTGGAATAGCATTTTCAGAATATCAAACATTTGTATTTATTGAATTCCTAACTTGGAAAGGGTAAATGATGGTGATATTAACATAACTTCTCTTCAAGTTACCACAATCTCTGATGATAATCCTGCAGCAGCTTCTGATCACAGCATTCACTAATTCTGCACATTAATCCACACTGTTCACTGCTAACGACATGTCTTCTCCTCACTGTTGATCATCTAGTAAGCTCTGGACATATTTGTTTTTACACATGCTGCTACTTTATATGTATATAGGTGAACTGCTGTACTAAGAACATACATATAATGAAACACTATCCTTACTGAAATTCTGAAGATCCTTTCCTCTAGCTGCTGTTCAGTTTTAGTTTTGCTGTGTTTCATCATGCTATCAGAGCATCAGCCCTCCAACTCTCAGTAATTTTTGGTGAGCTTTCTTTTTTTTTGCATTGGATTATGTTGTTATCAAACTTTGCGACATTCCTATAGCTCCCCCGCTCAAATTTCTTATGTCCAATATCAAAATCATTGTTCACATTCAAGTTCTTACCGAAAATTAATCCCACTTGGAGGTCATAAATCCACAAGTTATTTACCGTCAATGGCTTTGATGGGTATTTGGTTGGCACACCACTTGTCCACCCAAACATCTTCTCATTGACCCTAGCTAAATATCCTCACATTTTAACATATCTTGTGGTCATTAATTTGTTAAAATTTTGCTGCGGCCCTCTTCTCCACTGTTTTCCCTTCAATTCTTCCATATGGGCTAGATCTAGACTCCTGCGCTTCCATTGAACTACTCTTGAGAAACGATTGCAATCTACCAATTGATGTAGAGTAATTCAATTTAAAATTGAGCTTCATAACCTTACCATGAAAAATCCAGTTTCTGCAGCTAAGAAAAGAGTGGAAATCTTTGCCATTGTTGGATGCTCCATTGATATCGAAGATATTATTATATACATCTTGAATGGTCTTACGCCAAATTATCTAGCCTTTAAAATTGCCATTCGAACTAAACTCACTCCAATCAATTTAGATGATCTCCACTGCCTTTTATGCATTAAGGAAGTTAATCTTGCTACTGAACGTCTGAACCAACAAAAGAATTGATGATTTCTAATAACTCAGTAAACCCTGATTTTCACCTTGCTCTCTCCTCTACATATGGACATGGTCGTGATTGTTCACTATTTCTCCCCTTGGTTGTGGTCTGTATGCATAATTTTTTACTGCAAAAGGTGCTTTGTCTTTGATAGCAAATACTTGAGTTCGCAAGCAAACCTAACAATAATTGATGAAATTAGCGAGAAAACTTCAAAATCTCCAATGAAAACAATCCAAAAAACAGTATATTGTATTATAGGAATCAAATCAAAAGCAAAAACAAGCAAATATACAATTGATCCTCAATTCGAGAAGAGGATCATTCTCTCTCAATCTCTAGACAATGAATCTAAAGCCTAAAGCCACAAAGAGAACACTAAGAGAAAACAATAATCATGCATGCCCTAATCTTAGCCTCTCATCCTCTTTTAATACATATCTTCCTAATAAAAGCCAAGAAAAAGCTTCCTAAATAAACCAAATTCAAAATAGTTTCCTTATGCATTAGCCTCCCCCTTCCCTCTCTCTATTTACCGCCCTAGGGGGACCCACATGCTTGGGCGGTTTCCAAGGAGGAGGCTTAGCCCACCTCTTATAAACCTGAATTGGCCCAGGTTGAGCCAGTTTGTTCGGTTCAGGAAGAATCGTAACAATACCCCTTTTCCAAAGAACCACCTTGTCCTCAAGGTGAACATTGGGAAATTGATGTTTCATCCTCTCATAAGGTTCCCACGTGGCATTGTAGTCCGGAAGGCCTTTTCACTTGATCAACACTTCTCTAGCTCCATTTTCCCTCTAGCGAACCTCCATCAGCTCTAAGGGTTTCAAAATCACCTCTACGTCCTCCGCGAGTTTCGCCAGTAACTCTGAGCTGGTTGTATAATCTCCAATTGCCCTTCTTAACTAGGATACATGAAAAACAGGGTGTAGAGCTCGTTTATGGGCTCGCGAGCTGAGCTTATCGACCTCACAAGTCGAGCTCGAGTTCGAACTATAGCTCGTTTCATAAACGAGCTCGAGCTTGATGAGGCTCGGCTCGTGCGCTCGCGCGTCGACTCAAATAAATTTTAAAATTTTTAAAATTAAGTAATTATTATTTTTTATTACATTCAAATCTTAAAAAAATGGCCGTATTAAGGATTTTTTTTTTAAAAGCTGCATAGAGCAGTTCCCCAAAACAAATGCATTAAATATTTTAATATATTCCCAAGACTCTTGCTGTCAAAAAACACAAGAGATCTTTCTTTTATCTATAGGAAAAAGCCAACAACAGATAGCTAAGAGCTGTGCGGATGAGTGCCCCAAGGTGTTGGCTGGCTCGCTTGCCTAGAAACTGGTTAAGAAATTACAAAACTAAGTGGGCGGGAAATCAAAATTGAGCGGCTCAATGAGTGGCTCGACGAGCTCGTTTATGTAAACCGAGTCGAGTTTGAGCTCGACTTTTGAACTCGACTCGAGCTCGAGTTTGAGCTCGGTGTTTGACTCACGACTCGAGCTCCAAAACATCCTGACTCGAGCTTGACTCGACTCGTTTACACCCCTAGTCCAAAGTGCACTAAGTGAGGTGGGTCCCTTCCGTACAACACATTGAAGAGTGTCATCTGTGAAGCCGAATGCTAGGTGTTGTACCAATACTCCACCCACGATAACCACTTGGCCCATAACTTGGGTGTCTTTGACACAAAATATCGGAGGTAGGTCTCCAAGCTTGTGTTGACTACTTTTATTTAGCCATCCGTCTGTGGGTGGTAGGCAGTGCTCCTTTTCAGAATTGCCCCCTATAATTTAAACAACTCTCTCTACAAATGGCTGAGGAAGACCTTATCTCTATATGATATTATTGCCTATGCTAACCCATGCAATCTGACCAACTTTTTTGATGAAAGCTGATGCGACTGTCACTGCGGTGTATGGATGTCATAAAGGAATGAAATGAGCATACTTGCTCAATCTATCCACTACCACCAAAATCATTATGAATCCTTTTGAACAGAGCAACCCATCTATGAAGTCCATGGATATCTCTTCCCATACTCGCCCTGGTAAAGCCAATAACTATAGTGGTCCTTCTGAAGACATAGCTAAGTACTTGTTTCTCTAGCAGATCTCACATCTGGCCACCATCTCTTCCACATCTTTATACATTCCCTTCCAGTACAGCTCTGAAGCTAGCCTTCTTTATGTCTTTTGCACTTCTGAATGACCCCCCATAACGCTCCCATGGAACTCATGGAGTAAGGATGGAATGTGGACTTGAGGTATGGGGTATCACAAACCTCCCCTGATACAACAGTCAATCCCCCTCCAATGAATACCCCGGGTGGCTACTCCATTTCCCAAGTAAATTGGCCTTGATCTTCCCCAACTTCTCATCCCTGACACTCTCCTCCTTAATGGCCTCCCAATCTATAACATCAATGGAATCAATATTGCCATTGCTTGCAGCTCTCCCATTCACCTGGACAAGGCATATGTTGTTTTTTTCTCCACTCATGGCCTACATTGGATTTCAAAATCATATCCCAATAATTTGGGCAGCCACCTCTGATGTTCTTCTATTACCATCCGTTGCTCCAATAAGTATTTCAAGTTTCATTGGTTTGTCTTGACAATGAAGTGTCTACCTAATAGGTACGGACGCCACTTTTGGATGGCCAAGATGATGGCCATCAATTCCTGCTTATTTATTGATTTTAGCTTGGCTCTAGCTGTTAACATCTGGCTGAAATAGGCAATCTGTCGGCGACTCTGCATGAGTACTGCTCCCAATTCATACTCTGAAGCATCTATCTCTACTACGAAGACCTGAGTGAAGTCTGGTAAGGTTAAGACGGGCACCATAGTCATAGCTCTCTTCAGCCTCTCAAAGGCTGTTGTGGCCTATTTGCCCCATATAAAGTCATTCTTCTTCAGCTATTCTGTCAGTGGCCATGCTATAGTGCTGTACCCTTTTACGAATCTCCTGTAGACCCCATCAGTCTTAAGAACCCTCTTAGCTCTTTCAGGTTCTTTGATAATGGTCATCTCAACATAGCCCCAATCTTTGACTGATCGGCTGCCACCCCCTCCTTGGACACAATATGGCCCAAATACTCCACACTCGTCTGGGCAAAGCAGCACTTCTTCAGGTTGACCCTCAACTAATGCTCCTGTAACAACTCTAACACCCTCCTCAAATGTTCAAGTGCTCCTCTTCTATCCTGCTGTAAACTAGGATATCATCAAAAAACACCAAGACAAACTGCCGAAGATGAGGTTTGAATACCTTATTCATAAGTGACTGAAATGCAGCTGTGGCATTAGTGAGGCCAAAAGGCATGCTCAATAAAACAGTTTTCATGACTCGACCATAGGGTTCTTGAAACCCTCACCATCCTAATTATGAGTGTTTACTAAAAAAACGTTATATGGACTTAAACAAACTCCACGCCATTGGCATGCAAACCACTTTCATTACTCACAGAGAAAGGTTTTCATTGCAGTACTGCTGATCCTTTGTTCATGCTCTGCAATAGTTACAAAACTCAAATTTATTTACTTATCTATGTGATTGACATTTTAATCACTGGAAACAATTAGTCCTTTGTCACGAGTCTGCTGCACAACTTACATGTTTGCTGTCATATGTGAAATATTGGAACAATTTTTTGATTTTTTTGAATTCATGTGATGTCTTCTCTTATCGGGTGTAATGTTAATCAGAGAA